AGGTGAGTCTTACATCGATTTTCCATGTCCTATTTTCCACCTTCACCTGCAACCAAACAATTACCAGAGTTAACTAAAAGTCTTAACACCCCACAAGCAGTAAGTTAAAACCCAGGATAAAGAACAACAAAAACTGTTGACTAATTAAAAAAATGCAGAATATGACAACAAAAAAGGGCCCATAAATCCAGATTGTGTTATTTTTCCCATCATTTATTTTCTCAGTAACCAAACAAGTGGCATGAGGCAGCACAAATACAAGTAGAGAAACAAACATTAAAAGAAACAACAGTAAAAAACAACAAAAAAAGAAAGAAGCGAGAGACCTTTTCGGCACTGGTGCCAAAGATCTGGCGGAGAAGGGCCATGATTAGGGTTTTCTTGCCAGAACCAGAGGGCCCATAGAAGAGCAAATGTGGACAGTCTTGTTCAGTGACCTAAATACCAAAAAAGAGAGGCATTAGAGTACCATAACAGAACATTAATCAAAATACCACAAATTAACACAAAATATAGATGAAAACAAAATGGGGAGGTACCAGTTTCTTGAGGTTTTCGGCGATTTCTTGATGAACGATGACCTGGTCTAGGGTTTTGGGTCTGTACTTGTCAACCCACAACATCTTTCTTTTGATTCTTCCGGGGAGAGAGGTGAAAGAGATTGTAGTGGCGGGAAAGACTGGCGTGAGAGGGTAAAGCTTTTTATTTATTTATTTATGCGACACTACCCCGCCCTACAATAGGGTGTATTTCGCATCCTTTAAAAAAATGTAAATTTTTTTTATTTATTTAAAATTAATTTTTTTTAATATTTTCAAATTATTTTATATATTTTAAAAAATAATTATTATTACACTTTCAAATATATATATATTATAAATTCCTAAAAAATCATTTTTTTAATTTATAAAAAATAAATTATTTTATAATATTTGATAGTATTATAAAAAATAAATAAAAAAATACTTTGCAATAATTTATACTGTCATGAAAAATATGTTGAAAAATAAGCTATTAATATTTTATTATTTTTTAAATTTATTTAACATATATTAAACATTAAATTTGATTATTAGTTAATTCGGCTAGCATTTTCATCAATTCTATTAATATAATATTTTGTTGATAATTTTAAGAATTAGATTACAATAAAGTTGTATGTATGTGGGGATCACCACCAATGGCATCTCATAGATTTTACAGTAAACAATCCCTCACTAAAAGGAAATTCTTGTGCTATCTTATTTGATAAAGCACTTTACTCATATTAGTAAAGAATATGAATAACTTTTCTGAAACCAAACAAAACTCAAAAAAAAAAAATTAGAAGATTCACACCATAATCACAACTTAAAAACCCACCTAAAAGAAGAGGAAAATAGAAAAAATAAGAGAAAAGGGTGATAGAGAGCGAGATTTAAGGAAAAGAATTACCATTTGAGATTTTGCAAATATCATAAAAGAAAAGAGAAAAAGACCATACAGAGAGATTTACAATGGATGTTTTTTCCTTTTTAAGGTGTGGGGTTTATTCTTCCTTAAAAACAAAAAAAGGAAAGTGTAGAGAAAAACATTTTCTTTCTTTTTAAAGGCAGGTGTTTTGATTTTGATTAAAAGAGCTTGATCTCGTCTTTTTTTTAAAAAAAATTTTAATACACATCTCCCCATGTAATTATTTTAAAAATATATTTTCATTTAATTATTATAACAATTAAAATAGATATTCCTATAATAAAATTATATTATGAGAAAAAATTATATTTCATAGTTAAAAATACTTTTACACACACACTGAATAAAAATGAATTAAAAAAAAGTAATAACAATAAAAAAAATATTCGTAAGAATCCTAATGATTTTAATTAGAGAGGAAAAAATATTTTTTAATTAAACAACTCTCTTTACTTTCTTTATTCATGTATTTCTTTTTTATTTTGATCAAAGTTTTTTTTATTAGATAAAATTTTATTATGATTATGAAAGCAACATATAAAATAAAAATTCATATTTGTGCGGTGAGAAATACACTCATGTATATCTTTATAATCATCAATAAATATCATAAAATATTTATATTAAACATGAGAAATAATATAACTAATAAACAAACATCACTATGAATGAATGATCTCAGAATTGTGGATGACCCTACTTACTTTAGAATGGAATGGTAAAGTTTTACTTTTGCCTAGTTTAAAAGTTGCACGATCAAGAAACACGTTAAAAGAAGAATGCTCTTTGTTATTTAATAGACCAGATTTCATCAAATAAAATAGAATCCTAGAACTAGGATGACCAGGCGTTTGTGTAAGACTTCATGACACGTTAGACTTGTTACAAAGGAAAGACAGTGTAGAGAAAAAGGTAGGCTTTGTGGAACAAGTAGTTGTGGATAAAAGAGACGTTCATGCTTAGGCCATTTCACTACCCACTGTCCTGATATTTGATCCTGCACAACACAACCATCATGAGTAAGATATACATAATAATTTTGGTCTACAAGCTAGCCAACATAAACTAAATTCACATAAAGATTAGGTGATGCAAGAACATCCTTAAAGAAAGAAAATACATCACCAATTGCCACCATAGAAGAACTATCATAGGCTGCTTGAATATGTGAAAAGCCATAATATTCTCTAACATTACTTAAAACATTGAGAGAGTGAGTCATATGATTAACACCCGAGTCTACAATCCAGGAGAGAAATAAAAAGGAAATACCTTGAAAACCCAATACTAAAAATGCACCATGATCATTTCTTTCACGAGTTAGAAAAGGAGTTGGAGGCTGTAAACCAACAAAAGTTTCCGCAGTAGCATCAAGCATAGCTAGTTATAAGTTACTAGTATCAACATGATAAACTTTGTTGGAGCATGGAGGACAAATAGTACAGTCCTTAATAACATGCCTTGGCTGGTTGCGGCGGTAATTACAAAATTTCTAAGGACAATTAGGGGACATATAACCATATTTCTTGCAACTATAGCATTATATGGTGCTCATGTAATGACTCTTCCCCACATAGGCAATTGAGACATTATTAGAAGCTACACAAGACTGCTCCATAATATTTTGAGTATTAAAAAATTCCTCACACATGAATTCTCCAAAGCAGACATCTAAAGTTGGAACATGATCTGTATTTACTAGAGAGGCAATAAATAGATTGAATGTAAGGCCTCAATGTCATTAGAAATTAATCTTTTCGGCTAGTTTTGTGTACATGTTGCCCTACTGTCAACCTTGCCTTCAATCCTTCTGTTGAGACCGTGGCTACAGAGTCAGAATAATCATTCCATAAAACCCAAAAGCTAGAGTAGTGGTCCTGAACTGATAGATCCCTTTTAGTATAGTTAACAATGGCCAACTCAAGCTGGAAGCACCTAACATTGTTGTCTTGGTTTGCTTGGGATAATTCCATGTAGCCTTGGCGTCTCTATCAGGATGCAAAGAAAGAATATAATGCTACTCTATAGAATCAAGAATCCAGTACATGATTTAATTATCTTTGGCATCCAAGGCTTTTTGTTGGTCACGGACCTTTCCTCAGTTGATCCCCCTTTGTTGTTATTGTTTATATGTCCCCACAACTCTTTACCCTTGAGAACGGTCTCTAATTGAAACTCTCAAGCAACATAATTTTTGTCAATGAACCTAACACAAATATTATCCGACATCTCTATAAGTTATAAGTAATAACGTTATGAGTGAGAAAACTAAGACTAAGATTTTCATAGAAAATGATGCTTTGAATTGTCCTTTCTTGAGTTTTGATAAGGAAACTTAAATTTATACATGCTAATTACACAAAGAGATTTTAGAAAACTATATACGGTAAACTAAATCTCCTTTTCTATTTATGAAAATATATACAGCTTAAAGTAATAACCATTAACAATGCATAATTTATGGCCTTCTAGAAAGTAAATGGAACTCTTGCCCAATTTGAACATGAAACAATCAAAGAGAACATCATAAGAAGAAAATTGATCTGTATTTTCCAACAAATCAGAATTTAACAAACAAGACAAAACAATACAACTTTGATGGCCTAAGTGTTTATGACATGCTTCACCCTTATTTTGAATATTGATACAAGCAAATTATAGAAAATGAGGAATTGAAAAATAAAACAAAAATAATATTTCAATTTTATGTCTTTTCACAATCACCATCCATCCCACACAAGACAACCATTACAAGTAAAATACACATCACAAATATTCTCCACTAATTAACCAACCAAAATAAGACTAGTGAACAACTTTGGTGATACAAACACATTCTTTAAAGTTGGATTGATATCCTCTACCTTAGTAATAGACATATGACCTCCATTACCAATCTAAATTTCTAATGAACTATGATACTTACACAGATTTTTTAGCATACTAGATGAGTTAGTCATGTGATTTAAGGCAACAAAATCAGCAAGCCAAAATCGGCATGTAGTCCTAAGGCTGAAAAGATTGAAACAATCATTTATTTCATCATTTCAAGAGTAAGAATAATATATTAAGCAGTCGTAGATGGCCTGTCAGACACAACAGCTCGAAAAGCATTGATTTTGCTGTTTTAATAACGAGTAGGCACTCCTTGATAATGTCCTTGTTTGCAATAATTGCAAAACTTCTTTCTATAATTGTTAGCAATGTGTTCATATTATTTGCAGCTATAACACAATATATTACTCATATTTCTACCCTTTTCTTTTCCTTGAGCAGCAAAAGCAACTATAACAAAATTTTCTTGCTTGAAAATGCCTTGTGTAAAAAGAAGTTGCTCTTTGAGAAGTAATTACCAAAAACAAACATCTAAAGAGAAAAGGATCTCAATTCATATAGTTTGAGCAAACAATATTGTGATTTCATTAAAAATTTATCGCGAACCTGTTGAACTACAAAGAGAGATTCAACAGGCACCCCAGCATAAGCAATATCAGTATATTCTACCCATAAATTTTGAAAGCCAGAGTAATAATATTGGATGAAAAGGCTGCCTTAAGAATAATTAGAAATATTATTTTCTAAATGAAAACATTTGGCATTGTTTTCCTGATAGTAAACCTTTTTTAGATACTCACATATGGCTTGTGTTGTCTTATATAACATTAGATTAAGAAAAATAAAAGGGTCAACAGACCCTAAAATTCAGGACATTACTTGAGTATCTTTGGCCTTCCATCGAAGCAACTTTGTAGAATCACTGGGAGATAGATCCCTCTCATTCACATGACCCTTTAATTCTTTCCCTGTGACATACTTGAAACTGAAATTCTCAGGCTGAATAATTTCTTTCTAGCTGAACACCACGCAACTCAGAATTGCTTAATGTAATCTTCTCAACAAACACAATAAAACCATAGAAGACAACCAAGAATAAAAGAAAATCCAAGACCCAAGAGCTTCAGGCATTGAGGACTCATTACCCAGTCAAGAAAAACTAAAACAAGACAATGGAATGGAATGGAGATTCAGAAGTGAAGCTCTGATACCATGTCAAATTGGTTGAAAAATAATTTTGATTAACATTATATAAAATCAGCTACTATTAACTACAATATTGCCCTAATTATAAAAAGCTATTTACACTATAATTACATGAATGTTGACATAAAGAGCTAATATTTATATAGAAACTATTTATTTTGATATGATGGTCCACACTATCATGTATATCTACTGAGTGGGATCCAATTCTATAATTCTATTTGGTAGGAAAATTGCAAATATATTCGAGCCAGAAACCAAAAAAAAGGCACTACCTAATGCTACAGATTCGATAATTATCCAACCCCACAATTTTAGCAAATAAGCATAAAAATAGTAACTAGTTCTTAATCAACAAGATTTTTGCCACATTATACAGCATTTCCAATTCCATGTTGGACAATGGTATGTATGTATGCATGCTCACATAAATGCAGGAACGTGCACAAACATAAACATGCATCTATTCCGCTCCATGTGGTGTTGGTTACCTATATCACTTTTTCTCCCCCAAACCAACTTGTAAATTTAGCGGTCCCTTTCTCTTCATATTGGTAGTGACTGCCAACAAATTTCAATATCTTATCCTTTTTCCCACCGGAAGAAAAGTATAAATTCAAAATTTAAGAGGACATTTCTTTATTGCCCACATGCAATTTTCCATATAACCATATCTTTTTTATTTGCAAATTTATAACCAAGTTGGAAAGTGACATCGTACCTTCAGTTCCAGCTAATGCTCTTTCCTTGTCATCTTTTCTTATGATAACAAACCAACTTATTCATCAATGAACAACAGGCAACATTCGCTATCCAATCTTAGCATCTCCATTCACTAAAGTACCTTCATCTTTGCTGGCAATGCTACTGACAGATGCAACACTGTTCTTCTTTGGCCCATCTGTGTCAGAACTGGTTAATCCCTTGTAAACTTTCTTTTTTGAAACTGGAGCATCCTTTATTGAATCACTTCTTGGGGAATTTACATCACTGTCTTTATCCTTGTACTCTTCAGCTAAATCATCCTTTGGTGCTTTCACATTCCTTCTGGGACTAGCCTTATCAGTTGCATGATGCTCTGCACTGGACTTCTCTGGAGTGGCTTCAGGAAGCAATGCTTTGCGACTAAGTCGAAGTTGTCCCTTTTCATTTACCTGTATTACATGCATGTAAATAGTTAATAGAGAACAATTTTTTTAAGTGTTGTGTCAAGAGTGCAAATCAATTAATGTAGCAATTGATGGTCCAACACAAAGGATGTTCCAGTTTTGCTCTGGAAACTCGAAATCAAGTTTTGTTTCCTCTGCAACTGAAATGAGTAAATACAGCACATTGAAGGAAAATTAAATCCAGATGAACCCATCAAGGAAAGGTGAAGCCATACATCTCATTAACTAGAAAGCATTTATAAAGAAAAAGCATTTTTATTAAAAAGGTATCCTTGATTTATCATTATAAAATGAGCTCTAATTGAAAAGAAAGAGAAGTCTAGAAAAGGTTAGTTTGGTCACACTATAATTATATAGGTTGGAATAACAATTGAAGGAGTGGCAATAATGCCACCCTTTATATCTATAACAGATTTGAAGGATTAGCGACATAGATGCTAATATATATGTACAGAAATGACGATCAACAATAAATATGGATGGCATCAAAGGATCATTAATTAATAATTAAGGTTAAAAAACTCCAGAATTTCGCAAAAATAGCAAATACCAAAGTTAGCTAAAAAGAGCTTGTCAGTGAATAAAACTTGAGTGTCTTGGGCACAATGATGGTTTAACGAATAAGAAATTCCTACCTCAATTAGTTTAACATCAACACGGTCTCCAACTTTGAAAACCTGTAACCAAAAAAAAAAATAGAGTAGAAATTTTAGCTTATTGATAATATAGCAGGAAAAAATATATATTTCTTATGGCTTCTATATAATGTGGAGGGAAAGAAAAAATGGTACTGCTTACATCTTCAGCCTTTGGCAACCAGTTCGAAGTTAGTTCACTAATATGGCAAAGTCCCTGCCAGAATTCAATACTTGACAAATCAATAGCCTTTTCTTCCTCAAATGAAATAAGACTTCAGATATGCTAGGTTATGTAGGTAACATATTCTTATGTAAATGCCTTCCACACCTTGTCAATTGAGCTTGGTTTGATTACATGGTGTATTTTAATTTTTACTTTTCCCAAGCAAGAAAAGAAAAATCTATCTTTAATGAAAATATGGAAAATTATTGTGAAGAGAACAATCTTTTGATGAACTTTGGAATTCTGATGCCCAATGCAACTGCAATTACAACAAATATCAAATTTAAAGAAGCCTGTCCAAGCAAAAAATCTTATAGTGTTTTCTTTCCAGCTACTTAGAACTCCGGTGTTAATAATTTTGTTATGCAATACAACAGTCTGGTTATTGGCTTTTATTAAAATTGTGTACCAGAACTACATACCTCACGCCCTGGGGCTATCTCAACAAAGACTCCGTAAGGAGCTACAGATTTGATCTCACAGTTCCTGATCAATAAGAGAATAAGTCAAATGTTCTGTCTTCACAATCATCAAGTAACAAATACTTGAGAAAGAAATAAATTCAAAAAATTCAAAAGGCCAAATAGACAACGATAAATACACTTAATAATCATGAAACTATTCCCAATTATACCCTTTACTCACATGAACCTTTGTGAAGCAAAGCTTTGATGCATTCTTGAAATATCTTCCATAATAGTAACAATGATAAAAGATAACTATTTCCATTTTTTTATTCAATTGATCTAATTAAGAGGGTGAAAAAAAGAAAAGAATAAAAGATAGAAACAAAGAAAAGCAGCTCAAGGAAAGGACATGCCTGTAGATATCACCGACATTTGGAACCATTGTTAGCCGATTGATAATGGATTTGGACTTTTCTATACTTGACAAATCCTTTGCAGTAATTTTTACCTGCAGAAGCCAAAGGTTGTAGAAGTTGCAACTGATTTCAAGTCATAAACCAATGAAAGATAAACTCTATATCTGATCTTACAATTCCATCATCTCGTGTGTCAATAGCCTCAACTCCAGTTTCTTCTATTATACTCTTCACCTTCTTCCCACCAGAACCAATGATGATGTTAACTTTCTTCGGATTGACCTATAAATCAATATTATGATTGATAATGTGTGTGTTAAGGCATCATAGATTATAAGTTCTAATTTCAAAAGCAAATCACTAAAGGATGCGTATAAAATAAACAAACCTTCATAATGTGAATCAATGGGGCATACTTAGAAAGCCTTTTGGAAGGGAAAGGTGAGCATTTCAACATTTCAGCTGATAAAATAAATAGAAAACAAAATAGGTGAAATGAGTGCTTCCAAAAAATGTAAACCCGAAGCATATTAGCAGCTCTAGTTAATTAAGAAAATGGTAATATTTATACATTCACGCAAACTGATATAACAGAACAAGGTATGGTGTAAAGGATATGTGCCTACAGTTCCACATACTTCTGGCAAGATAGCACCAAACTATTGGTCAAACAGATTTAAATGAATTCTAGGCAAAAAAAAAATTGCCTAGGTTCCAGTACCAAGAATATGCTTTCGGCCATCCCTTGCTTGTAGCAATGCCTTTCTCATAACAGGTAAGGTGATTCCTCCAACCTATAATGTCAAAATCGGAATTCATTATGATTTATAGGCCATGGAATTTAACTCGTGAAAATGAACAACAGAAGAATGTATCGATTGCTATAGGGTTGACAAAAGGATGTTGGTTAGAGGAAAAACATTCTGTCTAGCATGAAATCTGTCTGATAGAGTAGTTGTAGAGATAATGACCTTTATGTCCATCTGAAATGCAGTTATTCCATCTTCATTTCCAGCAACCTGCAACGTCCAAACAAGGTGATCTTTTAAAAAGGTTTTAACATGATTGCAGTATACTCTTTCCTCTGAATTTAAATATGTATTTTCAAATTCAAGCAAGTATCTATTCAATACTCATGAAAAAACAAAGAAGAAATAAAATAGAAGCACAAATCTGGAGATGCCCAGTAACTCTTACCTTGAAATCCATGTCTCCAGAAGCATCTTCTGATCCAGTTATGTCAGACAGAATGAGGGGCGTTCCATCACCCCCAAATTCCTCAGTGTCAAGAACCATACCCATCGCAATCCCAGCAATCATGCATTTTACAGGAACACCAGCATCTTGTAATGCCAAGCAGCCTCCACAAACAGAGGCCATGCTGTTCAATGATAGGTGCTAAATAATAAGACCCAAATCACATAGTATGATAGCAAACACTCAACATGAAATACTTGGACAAAGAAAGGTTTTTAGCACCCAAAAAACTATATCAAAAGTAAGATCTTGTGATTGTATAACTAAGACATTAGCACTTTTTATGGCTTCTGACCTTGAGGAGCCATTGCTTTCTGTGATTGTACTCTCAACTCGTACAGTATAAGGAAAATCATTTTCAGAAGGCAATATAGGTTCAAGAGCTCTCTCAGCAAGCATTCCATGACCGATTTCTCTTCTACTAGGTGCCCCTATCCGGCCCACTTCTCCAACACATGATGGAGGAAACAAGTACTGGAAGATTAGAACAATGTCAGAAAGCATCCAAATGCAAAAGTTTCAACAAGCAGGAATTGTAATAGTGTATTCAGTTAAAATGCTATATAGTATTCAATAATGAAACACAGCAGCTAAACAGAGTGCAGAGAATGACTACCCTTTCAGAAGAAATCAATTAGGAAAATTTTTACAAGCAAAAGGTTTGCTTCATATATAAATAGAACTCTAGATCCTTTAAACTTCATTAAATACCCACGACATAAGAAACCAAATGGTTTGTTTTCAGTAATATAAACAAGATGCTCCGCTATTTGAAGGACCCATAGAAAAGGAACTTATATACAATTAAAAGAAAATATACAATTAAAAGAAACTAAAAGGGCTCCTAGTTTTAATGTAGCATCATTACTGTTAACTCTCTTGGATTGGAGTAATGAAATTTTGTTTTGCACTATTATATCTTTTTATGCCTAAATTAGCACCCAATTGCAAGTTTTGTTTTACAAGGAATGGTTGAATTAAAATACTGAGAACTTAAGTGAAAAAAATAGGTGGCAGCTTCAGTCTTTTTAATTTTAGAAAAATCAATTTTGATATCAAACTTTTTTTTTCAGTCCTTTTTGGGTGGGAAGAGAGAATGGAGAATCGCCGGATTCCGTTGTAGAGAGAAAAGGTTGTCGTTGGTAATGATTTTAACCACTAAAATGATTGATTTTTATGCCAAATGGTTTTATATTATGAGGAGAGTTCAAATTAGGTGTTTCATTGGAAGTGTCTAAAACAACAAATTGGAGCCTAGGAAAATTTTTGGTTTTGAGGTGGTTTTTTACATTTTTTAAGGTAATGGATTGGTTTAACATGGTTTCTATAGTATTTTCTAGGCATTTTGGATAAAAAAAGGGTTGAAAATGAGTTTTTGAAAGAAAAAAACAGGAACCATGTTTTTTCGGCAACCATAGTGGCCATAACCTAGGGGGTTCTAGACGACACATCATCCATTTTTTTCAAAATAAATTAGGGCGGACGACCTATTAACTTTAAAAAAAATAAAGGCTTAGCGATTGGCCTAACCTCATGCTTTTCTTTTCTTTTGATTTTTTCAATTAATAGCTTATTTGTCTTTTTTAAAATAATTTTTAATTCTTTGTGATTCTTTTTTGTTTATTTAACTTTTTTTAAGTAGATATTATTTTTTAATTATATTGGATGTGTTTAATTTTTAAAAGACTAGTATGATTCATCTTTAATTTTTTTATATATTTAATATAAATTAAATTTATTTTTAAAAAATAAAAAAAATATTTTATTTTTTTATAATATTTTTAATATGTGCAATCTTGCATAGAATTTTTTTTCTTTTTATTTTATTCAATAAATGTTATGTATGTGTCAATTTCTTTTACAAATAAATTTTAATAAATAAAATCATTAAACACAACTAGCTTAATGACTCATGTTGCGATATTAAATATTTTAATATACATTTGTCTCTTAATTTTTCTAATTTTTATTTATTTATTGTTAATGATTTTTTTTATTTACTTAGTGATTCTTGATTTATTTAATTAGATGTATGTATAAGTTTTTCAATTTACATTGAGGAAATTTTTTATGTAAAAAAACACGTTGAAAAATTCTATATGTTCAATTTTTTTTTATCATTTACTAATATTTTCAATTTGATCCTTATTATTTTGATTTTTTATTTTTTTCCTTGACTCTTTTATAAAATTTTATTGTTTTTAATTTCACCCTTCAATCCAAGTTTGTAGTGTATTGTTTTTTTTTTTTCATTTTGGCCCTCTTTTTTTTTTTGTTAATGTTTTTATTCTTTTCAATTTAATTCTCAAATTGAAACTTTGTTGTTAATGCTTTTGGTTTACTGACCCAAGTCACGAATTTAAAAAGGTGACAGAAGTTGATATCCTTGTTTTGTGTTTTTTTTTTTATATTGTCATTTATATTGTATTTTAAAAGGAAAAATGGTTTTATGATTTTATGATTTTTTTCAATTTCTTTTTCTATCAAATTATGTTAACTTAATGACCTAGAATACACAATAGACATGTAATCTAGACATATCTCATGTCTAGGTTATGAGTTTCACTTGTTAGCCTAGTTTTGCCTAGGACAATTTTTTTTTTAATTTATTTGTTATTGTTGTTGCCTCATTTTTTTATCATATTATTAAATTAATCAAGATTTAACCTAATTATCGAATTTCTCTTACTTGGTCTCCTAAATTTTCTTTTTCAGGTTAAAGGCCAACCACCAATCTAGTTATTCATATATGATATTTGAATATACCTGCAGTACCTTTCTTCCTTTCTTAATTCCATATTCAAAAAAGATAAATCAACAATGTTTATAATGTTTACATTTTGTTCTTTTGATGAGACAAAAGGGACTAGCAGTGCGGAAATACATAGCTAGATAACCATTTCGTAATCTCCAAAGTCCTTCTAAAGTTATTCATATTCTAAGAGCAAAAGTAAATTTCTAAAGTACTTACTGGTAGAAGGATAAATATGGAAGATAAAACGTAGCATGAACCTTGAAACAGTTTTATTAGACATGTCTAATTGAACTAAAAGATTGGTTGATTTAATTTCGAACAGCATGGTGCAGAAAGGTTACCATAGAAATGATAAAGCCTAAATGATCTTTTAAATTAAATTCACACTTCACACCTATAAGCATTAAGAGAAGCAGAAACTCTTGGCTGTTAGATGACTCCAATTTATTAATAAAAAACAATTTCAAAAAGGAGATCATGGCAAACAGACCTGTAGATAGAACCTCTTGAATTCCTCTTCGTCAACAAGGTTGTCTACTCTTTGTGCCATTTGTTTATCACCAAGTGTAACAACTGCTAATGACTGTAAAAGAAAAACATCATCAACGATCACCAACAACATTATGTGTGCAAATATAACTACATGGTAGGGGTATTGTTCTCCAAACATAATCAACTACAAGATGCCAACTTATTGAAAGACAAGAAAAATGCTTAAAATAATGATTGACGAACGAAAAATTGTCCACCATGATATACAGAACTGATCAAATTTGTTTATTTGGAAGGAGAAGAATTTAAAATCACCAAAAAAGTTGGTTGATGGACAGATAATTGTTGCCTTTACTGGAAGTGGTGAAATCAAAGAAGGTATGCTGGGTAGATCTATAAACAATGGCACTGTTTTAACAAGGATAAGAGATTATTCAGTAGGAAAAGGATTAGAAACAGACAAGAAATGAGCAGATAACGAGAAAACACAGCTATTCACTAAGTCAACATAAGAGTCACCTCATAGTTTCTCAAGCCATTTTTAGTTGTCCCTTGAAGGAGAAACACTTGAAATTAGTCAACAAATGAAAATATGATGGATAAGCTTGTTCAGCAATGAAGGGGGGTAGAATCACATAACATCATAACCCATTCACGTTAACGATTTTGAGCATTTGCTTGTATAAGCAAGTGAGATAAGATATGAGAATAGAATCAGGTAAACCACTGCATGTTTCCTACAGCAAAAATACATTTAATCAAACCTGTGTTTCCCCACGTGTGAAAAGAGCACTTCCATGTGCTCTGGGAAGTATTCCACATCTGGAATCAATTGGACGTATCTTGTCTGGAGTTCTCCCGTCACTTCTTTTTCCTCCCTGTAAAAAAATGCAATGTAAAAAGAAAATTACATGTGAACATGTCAGCATCAATCATAGTCTCATTCATGGAAAAATCATATCCTAGCTGACTCCATACTGTTGGCACTTGGAATTTTTCTACATGGCAACTTTCCAGTACATTATAATGTAACAGGTAAGAGCAATAGGATTTTATTATATGGTAAACCATAATTCCAAATGTTAGAGCCAAAATTTAAGTTACATGCAGTTTTTCTTTTTTTCAAAAGAAAATAGTAAGAAATTCAATAATGTTACAAAATGAAAATATTAGGTTACAGCATGGACAGTAGTAATACCCTTGAAGTGAGAGAGATGCTGGTGTTGGAAAAAGGTAAAATTCTCGCGTGCCACAAGAAACCAAATATGTGTTTGAATGTCCAAGAAAATTCAAGTCTGAATCTAACATTGCCAGATGCAATTTTCAGAAGAAAAGAAAAGAAAAGAAAGAATTGGGCATGTCTGTGTCTGTGTCAACCTTATTGCTGTGGGTAAGTGGGAAGGGAAGTGAATGGGACCAAAAATAATGACTCTCCTGACTCCTCTTAAAAGAAGGAATGTGAAGTTATTTTTATTCATCTACTTTTCCAACTTCCACTGACCACAAACCAACATACCTCAACAATACGTTTCCGCAAGAATTTGGATGTAACTTCTTTAAATACCAGCTTCACATCTACCTCAGAAAACAACTAGAAAAGGAAAATCAAAATAAAGTGTCAAAAAGCTTGGGACTTCCAAATCACACATGATAAAAAGACCACGAGCACCAAAATTGAGTTGGATTACCAAGGGAGAGAATTTGCGTCCAATTGGCTTTATGTGGACATCACCTTCATCCACTTCACCATCTACAACAATTTCCTCATCCTCATCTTCAACCTCTAGCAAGTCCGCAACTGTTTCAGGGGTTCCAAATCTTGCATCCTTGCTTACATATCCCTTTTCTGTAAGTATACTAAGCACCTTTTCTTCCAGTGATGCAAGGGCTTTTCTTCTTGGTACTTTGCTTGTAATTTGCAATATTTTCACCAATTCATCACCAGCAATTTCCTGTACAAGGAACAGTATAAACATTAGTATCATTTTTTTTTTCTCTTGGCAAAGTAAGTGTATTCAAATAATAATTTGAGCAAGATGACAAAGGTAAGCTGGAATCACAAGATTGGCCATAAATCACTAGGATGGATAACTGGGCAGTTCAGACCTGCTACATTAAAACAGGTCCTTTCAGTCTGTAAAATCATGTCTCAATTGGATGCAATTAACTTAAGGTATTGCTTGACATGCAACATCCCTCCATAGTACTACAAATCAATAGCATCATGTACATAACTCTAGGAAAATAAGAAACCCAAAGGAACATTGCAAGATAAAGCTTCCACAATGGGCACAGATGCAAAATGGAGAACACGTAATATAAGCTTTATCTTAGTTGCTGATAGTTCTGCTAAGCAAATGCATCATACATTTAGTGCCATTATCAGAACAGAAATGATTTGTATAATACAGAATCAAGTTCTTCAAGAGTACCCTTGAATCTTTTATCCAGCTTTTACCAAGTATAGACAGCCTAATGTTAAATCAGAAAACAGTAACAATTAAAGAAGCAGTAGCTATTAGAAAACTTCTGGCAGGAAAGGATGATGTATAATAAAGATAAACAGAAACTATACCTCCACATGCTTATATAGCTCAGCAGGAGGTAATTTGATTGCATCAAGCATTTTAGCTTTCCCACACTTCTTCACCAAAACACCCACCTCATTGCAAATTGCCCGCACTGCATCCTGGCTTTAGTGAACATGCAAGAATTAAGGAAAACAGTTGAACATGCCCTGAAAAGGGCAAAAGCATGCATCGGATCTGCCAAACATCAATACAACCAGTCCCTAACCAATAAAAGGATAAAACATGAGGATACAAGGATTATATTTTGTCATCGGTAACATGTTATACAGCAACTTAATTTTCTTGCCTCAGTAAATAACAGCTCATAATGAGGATCACAACAACAACATATATAGCAATCATATTGTATGTCAATTCATAGCCACACTGTGGCATCAAGAATGTGACCACTGTCAAATAACTGAAAACAAACAAAATAATGAGTGCTGACTAGCACACGGTACACCAATCAGCTAAGCAGCTATTGCTGCATATTGCACAGAAACAGTCACAGATTATCCACAACATATACTTTTTTCTGATAGGTGATACACTAAATACATCAACTTCAGTTCATGATGAAATATGAGAAAATTGTACGCAACACACTTTAATCAAAGAAACAACCTGCCCAATTTGTACTGCATCAAGCAACTTTTCTTCTGTAAGAAAATTACAATAACCCTGCAAGCAATAGAGGTAATGGATTATGAAGTTCATTAGACACATATCATTAATATAGTTATTGTATCATTACTATGGTTAACAAACTGTATCTAATCAATTAAGTCTCCTCATGATGTACTGAAATGCAAGTGTATTTTCAGAATCATTTCATTCTGTAATCTTAGGTTAATGCAAGAGAAAAGAATGAGCAGGTAGAAAGAAAAAGGCAAAAAGAAAAGCATACGTAAAAGTTATCTAGAAAGAGAATCAGCCAATTAAAATCTAAATCTGTGAGACTATGACCATATAAGCTAATTTACTTCTATGTTTTTCTATCAAATGAATTAAAAAAGACTTGAACACAAGGCCTAAACATGTTTTATTTTCAACCCCAGGGTATATAAGTTTTTGATCTGAAAGGTAGCATCCTGAGCAGTACCCTAAAATGTCAGGATTTGACAGAAATAGCATAAGTACCAGCAACGCCCAGCTTATTGATCAGAAGCTTATTGATCAGTAATGACAGGAGTACAGCTGTAATAGGGTTATGTCTATCGTGTTGCTCAGTTCCTTCCTTGGTGGATATGATGAGTAGTGTAGAAGCAGTGTGGTCAATGACCAATTACCCAGGCTAGTTTAGATAACTCCTAAAAAGTGAAGCTGCAAGGAGGAAATGAGGTATTTTGCTAGGCCTCAATACAAGGACCCAAACTAAGTCTATTGCTCACACTTCCTTGCAGTGCCAAGACAAAAGGTTATAATAAGAGAACTTGTTCATCACTTCCCAAAAACAGAATAATTAATTATTGAGGATTAAAGCCCATCTGGCTTGCAATGAGTTTTCTTCTTTCATGACAATGGCGATTTTTAGTGAGTATTTAACCAGCATGTGAAAGCAAATGATCTTCAAGCCTTCGAAAATTCAAGAGGACTACTTTGACTCCTCAGACCATCACATTAAAGTGATGGTAATGATAGTATGGCATCTCAAATAATCTCTTAAAAATTGTCCTTTCCCAATAAATGTGGAATTGAATGCATACGCCAAGTGAAATAGATTTTACACAAAACGCACTCTCAATGGTGTGTCCAATGAAATGGTAAATGGTGCATCCACATCATATGAAGGTTTAACACAAAGGCCAACATCCATAACTACATTTTTCTATCTTAGTTTGGTGTACTGAAAGGTTAGAGATGCCTTGGAAGGAATCTGACTCCATTGAATATACTATGCACTTATACTGCACACAGTGAACTGCCACAAGCATGATCCAGCAAAAATTTCATTTCAAAAAAATGATACACGCAAAAAGGCCTTGCAGTTCAGATAATTATCAAAGAACTATGGGTTGACCTCTATCATAAATATTGCACTGTCTGTACCAGCCAGCAATAAATCCAATTCTGACTCTTCCATCTCCTTGGTTGTTGGATTCACAATAAACTTATTGTCAACAAGGCCAACTCGAACTCCTGCAATTACTTTTGTATTTGGTACTTCTGAAAGAGCTCTGTTGCAATCCAGTTTAAGAAGAATAAGTACATAATAACATGATATTTGGAACTTCAACACTTCAAGAACAGGAAGATTAAAGAGCAACACTTGAGGTAAGACTCACACAGCTATTCCAGCTGCTGTGACAGCCAAAGAATCGGGAGAATGCAAGCCATCATAGCTCAAAACCTGTTCAGAAGAGGTTATGGTAATTGGTAATTCTTAGCAAATTCATAAATCCAGTAAGAGAACGATACCAAGTCAAATAGCAGCCCATCAAATTTCAAAATGTTGATGATTAAGCATTGAATTACTGGTAGACAAGAATAAAGGAACATGCATGACAGACTTAAATTAATGCAGTGGGCATAACATGGTCACGCAAATACCAGTCAGCTCTTGTTTAAGGTTAAAATGTTCAGAATTGTCTACTTGGCAGCTTTTATTTCCTTTCGAATATCCAAGTTAAAATCAGTTGAGAAAATACAAACAAACCACACAAGGCTTACAGCACCAAGAAATAGTTTCCCAGGAGTTTGGAAAAAAATTAAGCTTGTGAACATTTAAGACATGAAAACTGCCAGTTAGGATAAAAATGTTGAATGGTAGATGACAAAGGATAGGAAAAACAAATTCTTGGTATCTATTCCATAACAACCATTTTCTCCCTAGAGCTATTTCTTATATTTCTCTTCCGATTCTATATCTCTAGTTATCCCTCTTTATTTGCTCCTCTCCCTCCATTCCAAAATATCAACAGTAAACAAACAATTCCAAAGTCTTTGCTAGGTTCTCCACAAAGAAAATGGTTCCTAACTTTCTTTCCCAGGACCTTTGTATGAAATATAATTGAGTGGCAACTTATATATCTTTTGTGAATGTAATTTTGAAAAAAATAATAAAAACCAAAACAAAAAAATAAGACTGCATAATGTGCTTCTTAAACTGAATAAAGACAATCCATGGAGATACTAAGAACAATATGTAAGCAGGCAAAAAAAAAAAACAAAACTTCAAGACTTACCCAAGATAGTATCTGGGTTTCATGGTAAAAGCCCTTGAACATGGTTGGGCGCAAAGGCCTATCTATCAATCTACAAATAAGAACCTAGAAGCAGCCAAAGAACAACTACATAAAAAGATATGTGACAAAAACATTTTCCAAAGGTAGAGATAGAGTAGAGTTTGTAAGAGAAATACTGCAATATGCTTCTGGAAAGTAACAAAAGCTACATAACAAAAGCTACATAAGTTGTTTTATCTTTGCTCTTCATCAAGTTATCCAAGTAAAAATGGCTAGAGAAATAACATTTAAGAAAAATATAGTGTAGCTCAAGCCTCACAAGCCTAGTTAATAGGTTCATTTGATCTGAGGCAGAGAGAAAGAGTTTGACATTGTAGGCACACATAACATCATAAATGGCATCTGTGGTATAAGATATTTACCATATTATGAACTAGACATATATATGGTATATTGTACAACTGTTACGGTCTACATAATCTGAATTTATACTCGTGTTCATGTACCATGCATTTGTGTTCATAAATCAATTATAAATTCCTGGCTGACAAGAGTGTGAGGTTTTTGATTAATGATGCAGTATCAACATTCAAATTTTCATTTTCATTTTCTTTACAATATTGTAGAAAACAGGACATCAGCATTATCTAAAAATTTTAGCAGCTATTTACATCGTGTCATTTCCAATTATCAGACAAATTATGTAACATCCATTAACATGAAAGCAAGGACTTGCAGAATTTCAGACTTATGCTAAGACTTGCGAGCAAATTAAACTCATGCAAACAAAATACACACTATAAAGGCATGAAGTTAAAAATGTTAGATTGAAAGGTGATAGTTAAAGACAACTGATTCAGCATCTGCTGAATTAACCATTTTTGCACTTGTAAGAGAAGGTTAGTACCTCATGATCTTTCAATTTCCCTTCCCGTTTGAAAAATCCTCCACTAAAGCAATAGCAGATATATAGAATAAATATCAGTCTTCACAAAATTTTGTGATAAATTCCAAAAAGTTGAAAACAACATGCATACCTAGTTCGACCTGCTGCAGAAAATCGCTCTTGATAATTTACAGATAGAGGATAAAAATCAGAAGGCTCACTAGGAACATCATCCAAACAAACAGATGTATAGACAATCTACAAAAAAAAAGAGAAAAAAAGAAATAGTGTTAAGATTTCACCAACCAGACTAGCTAGCACCCACCTACGGAATACAAACTTAAACTCATTGCTGGGGGAGCCTTTTAATTCACAACATATCATTAACTTCTGCTCGTGAAAGTACACCAGGTCTTTTGGTAACTCCCACGCAAACTAATAAGACAGCACAAGTTAATAAAAGTTGAACATGGATCACATTTCCAGTAACAAAGAATCAAAGTTCAAAAGTTTACATATCGAACAAGTCAACAATTTATTTATTTGATATCCAAAAATAGCACTTATCCACCCATCTGCACTAATCATAACTTACAGTTTCCCCATCCGTCACGGTGACAGAACCACTAGCTTGTCTCCCAATATGACCCGTCTCAACCAATATCTACAAAAAACAATAATCAAAACCACCCTAAATTACACTGATATTTTGATTATTCAAACAAAAAGATATATATAAAAAAAAAGTTCACATTTCATAATGTTTTACTATTACTGATAAAACTCCACAATGCTATTCATTATCCAAAACAAAATGTGTTAAAATTACACAATTTCTACCTATAAAATACCTCGTGAATTTAAATATAAAATCATCGAACCAAAAAAAGAATGAAAAATGAACTAAGCATATTAATAAACCTACATGTCTGTCACCGACGGGGATTTTGACAGAAAAAGGCTGAGGCAAAGACTGAGGGCCATCATGTGCCACAGAAGTTTCCTCTAAAGCATTGACAACAGTAAACAACCTTTCACGCTTTCTTCTTGATAGAAGCAGAGAAAGCGAAGAAAAGTTGGATTTTGCAGAATTGGAGAAGCGGGGGCAATTTGGGGAGAGAGAGAGCTTGCAGCGATGATTAAAGAGTGAACATGGAGGGTTGTGTGTGTAATTAGGTCTGTGATGGAGAGTACTGGTGCTAGGATTCGCTAGCATTTTTTCCAGCGTTTTTCAGTTTCAGTGGCTTTGGCTTTGAGAGCTAGACAGAGCAGAGAAGAAGAGAGATTTTATCCGTTTCAAGGCGCGCAGAGAGAGCTGATATGGCTAGTAGTGTCAGGTGTGTTTGTTCACGCGTCATGTTTTTTTTTTTTAAATAATAATAATTTTTTTAAAATTAATATTATTTTGATATTTTTATTTAAAAAATAAAAAATATTATTTTAATATATTTTTAAATAAACCTAATACTAATTATTGAGATATTTTTAATTTTTATTTTTCTAGTATAAATTAATCATCAGAAAAAACTAGATAATTTATTATGAACAGAATAATGGTGTTATTTATACCGTTATTAAATTAATTTGAATAACTCAATTATATATCAATAAATTAAATTAATATATAGCTTTGTTACTATTTTTATAAAATTAAATGCTTGTATTTATTTTTATTTTTATCCTATCATCCATTTGATAATAATATTATATCTGATGATACATGTTAATAAATATTTAATTTAAATTTTATTTTATTGAAGATAAAAATAATAATAAAATTTTTTATATGCATTTTAAGTTTATTTTAGATAGATATCCGCTCAAGAGTGCCCTTGATTTCTAACATAAATACTACAAGTTAAATGAGATTATTTATATCATAATTTTATTACCAAATAGCTTTAAAGATAAATAATAAGAATACAAATGATATATAATTTAATCTTAGATAATGTTAATACGTACACTGACACGTTCAAAAGATTGATATTTTCTTCCAAGTACAGGAGTGTTGAAATAATAAATAACTCAACAAGACCGAGGTCGAACCACATGGAGGTTAATTATACAAATTATAAACGACAACAATATTAATCACAACAACAATACTAATCATAACAACAATACTAATAGAAATAGTAGTAGTAGTAGTAATAAAGAAAGAGATGGAGAAAAAGAAAAAAGAAGATGAGAACTTTGAGATGGAATATCAATGTAAGGATTAAACAATGATAATAACAAATGTCAAGGTTAGAAGTTCCACTAATGGTATGTTAAACAAGTATAGTATAAACTCTTATTATTCAATTGGAAACCACACACAAAGGAGGTTCCAATCGG